TGTGATGACAGATATTCTTTCTGGAGTGAGATGGAATCTCAATGTTGTTCCAATTTGCATTTCTCAAATGACCAGTGACATTGAACATTTCCTAATGTATTTATTTACCATTTGTACTTCACTTCTGTCTTGCTGTGTTAAGAGTAGGCAAAACTGGCTCTCTCCATCTATCTCAATCTTTTCTGAATCTGGGAATGAGTGGATTAGAAGCTCTGCTCTCGTCACTGAATCTGTCACCACCTTTGTTTGTGTGCAGGTTCAAAGTGTGGATCAAAGCTCTGTGAGTTTCTAGAGAGTGTGTTTTTGGAAAAGGAGTGGCTGGTCTCTGTGCACTGCTGCATTTCCTCTGAATACTTCTACACAATGGAGGGTAGTCAGGTATAGGTGCACAGAGTATTAAGAGGTGGAGTACTAGGGCTTCCAGGCTGGCTCAAGCCTCAGGACTGTCCCAGCCTGCAGGTAAGTCCACGGAGACCCTAGAGAGGGAGTGGGATGAAAAGGAACAAGAGACACAAAGGATGGAGACAAGATGAAGAAGTCCAATCAAGTCTCGTTTATTCAGAGAAGGAGTATCAAATATATACGGTATTGAGGAGGAGGGAGTTGTGTTCTGAGACGTCAGCAGGTAACTTAGCAACAGTGGCAAGACCAAGAGTTATAGGTCAATTCAAATTTCCCACATGGTGTGACTCATAAGGCGGGCGGATTAACATAAACCCTGAATAGATGAAACAAGCTAGGTAGGCAAGGTGCTGCTTAACTACCAAACTTAACTCCTAGAGGGAGTTAAGATGGTGCAGCCTGCGATATAAGGTGGCAGCCAATTACAGAGCTTCCCACACAGGACTAGCCTTCACCACACAATCTCATAAAGCTGAACTTGTTACCGCCACTGTTTTGTGCTATTCATCTTCCCAACAGACATCGGCTCTCCAACAGAGCTTAATTCTTTGCAAGGTAAACACTAGGTTCTTTGTCCCATTTCATGATTTTAGTTTTAGTGTATCATAGTCACCTTTTTTCCTGGACCTATATATTATGATGCACATCCATTTCTTCCCTGTAGCACAGTGGTGGTTACTTCCCATAGTTTTAGGAAATGAACAGATTTCCTGGGCTTTGGGAGAAATTACTCAACAGGACTTCTCATCTCTCTTCGTCTCATGTCTTTCTCCTGCTTGTTCTACAAAGAAAAAGAGTAGAGGAATTCTAAGGTAACTTCCCATATGGCCCTGTCTACAGCTGAGGTTTTGGATGAATATTTCAGAGGAACGTATGATGCAGCTTGCTGGTCATTTCTGAAGATATTTGCTATTATTTTTTCAAAGCTATTTATAACACATTTTTCTTGATATTTTAAGTAACACATACTTATTAAGATACAGTATATAATATTCTAATTTCTAATACGCTTCAATTGTATCATTGTCTCCTTTCAGTCTAATTAAAGGCCTTAATATGCTTTGAAATCTCTATACATTATTCATCATTTCTAGTATGTTCCGTGTAGGTAATTTTGTTAGAAGAAACATCTTTATTCAAGCAGAATTTATTTACAACAAATTGCAGCATCTTTGAGTGTGAAGGATGTATCATGTAGAATCTTAAAATGTGGCTTTCAACAAAAGATTCCACTGTGTAGCAACTTATGGGAAGCCAATGCACACATTTTCAACATATTAAACATTTCATTTCTTAAATATTACTCTTTTCTGCTTCAATTTCTCTGTTTATATTAGTGGGTATAGGCTTCCATACCAAACACCACAGCCTGAGGATTTAATCAAAGAAATTTATTTCCTCACAGTTTTGAACCTGCAAGTGCAAGCCCTCTGGACCTGTAGAATTAGATTCTGAAGAGGCCCCTCAAGCTTATATGTAGGAAGCCCCCTCTCAAAGGCCCTGATCTCCGTGAGCTTGCATGACTTTCTCTGTATCTACAGACTTCTCTCCTCCTAAGGAGGGACTCCTCCCACCAAAGTCTGTAGTAGTGCCTTTATTCAGAACTTCTTTTAACTTTAATGACATCCATAGGTGCTTCGTCTCCAAACACAGTCACTTTTGGGGTTAGGCCTTCAACATTTGCATTTTGAGCTAATGATTCAGTCTATAACACTCCTTGAAATAGGTCTAGTGGCAGCATTTTCAGTGAGGAGGTATGTATGAGACATAGCTGCCTACTTTCATATATTAAATGATATTTACTACATAAATTTATTGAGATAATTGAGTGGTAGAGGATAAATTTTGGTTCTTGAAAAGCAATTTATACTTGTATTCGTCAGCACTTTCAAAATATGAATCAATCATCTTCTACCATAGAAAGTTTTAAAAATAATTTTCACGTAATTGGATTGTATTTTTCCTATTTTGGAGATTACCTATCATTACTCAGTAGATATATTCTGAATTTCACTTTGCAACTAATGGTTTTAAATTTCTTATAGTAATATAAAATATGAAAACTTACAGGAAACTTAATTGAATATATAGCTTATAAACAGGCTTATGTTTTATGTAACACAATTAATATGTTAGTATTTTAATTGGCAGAGAAGAAAATATAAAATTCTACTTGGAGGACAATTTTATCCATAGAGATAAGAAGAAAATTATTGTCCCTGAATTTAATTGTAAAGAATCTATATCTGGATAAAACCAGAACTGTGCTCGCAGGTGAAACAGTAGCAAATTCTCTCCTTACAAACAGATGCCAGGATCACCACAGTTAATTAACATTTTGAGTAGTCAAGCATTTTATTTTGTTGTCAAAACCACAAAAGAGTATAAATAATTAAATGTAGATATAATTTTCTACTTTTAAAAGACAAGACAATGAGCTTAAATACAAAGCACACATAATGGCTTAGTAAGACATCTTGCTTTTAATTCAGTATAAAGTTAAGCAAAATAATTATTGTTCTTGTTTTCTAAATACATTAGCCATTACATATACTGTCATAAAATATTACAGAAAAAAATTAAGAACATTTTAATGTAAAAACCCAAATTGTAAATTCTGTTTATTTTTTACTAGATTACGGTGTGGCTGTGAGCAGCTTCTCTTTGTTGACTTTTAAGTTGAATTTGAGGTAGTAGCTCTGTCTGTTGGGTATTATTACTGAAGTTCTCTGCTGACATTTGTATGCTCTCCTGGAAAAGTATCTAATACTGTGGAAACTCAATCTTTTTACATGAAAAATAACATTACATATATGTGAGTAGCAAGCAATGTGAGATATAAAATAATCTACTATACAGATATTTTACAGCATCTTTGTTTTACTAACCACCACAAACAAATGCCCACTTTATCTTTTACAGTGTTTGCTTCTCCACATTGAAACAGACATGCAGAAAAGATGCTCCTTTTTTCCCTATAAATGAATTGAGGAACTGCATTAGAAGAAAATCTACTCCAAAATGAATCTTGACAGTTTGAAGGGATTTCTTTGTAAAAACAAACATGAATAAGCAATTTTTTACTTATAAAAATATTCGAGCATTCTTCATCTAATGACCAAGTTCTGCTCCTGTGATTAGGTCTTTATCTGACTTGGTTGCTAAATGAGGAATTAGATATAGTATGTAGATTAAAATATTCAGAAGAAAAAATGATCTAAGGAAACTAACTTGATGACTTTGCTTTTCTTTCTATAACTCTTGAATGCAGTATTGTAATATATAACAGGACACAAATCTACAGTACTCTAATATGTACTACAATCAAGAATTTCAGCAAAATATTGCAAATGCTATATAAAAATGTGACCTTGAGGCTCTACAATAGGAGGCACAAAACTGTACAAAAAAAAAAGAAGGGTCATAAATCCAAGTGGTGGATCTGACATCCAAAGAATACACTTGGTTTGTAAACACAGGGTTGATAAAACAGGTAGATTATTAAATGAGGAATGTCTGGATAGGATTCTATATTGTTTAAGATTTAACACCAATAAATATAGGACACAGCCCCATGTCTCACTCTCTTTTCACATCTCTTAAACCTAATTCACTCTTAGTTTTTCACTTCGTTTTACAAATTCATTTAATTTTATTATTTATCTTCAATTTTTGTCATACAATCAGTACTAGTGATATATACACATAAAATCTTTTACTTTTATTATACTTTGGCCATTGATGTTACACTAATTTCTTAGTTCTCTGATAACCTGCTTGTTTTCCTCTAGAATTTCAAGCTTAATGATGACAGAAAACATGAAACTATTTATTTTTCCAGCATAGTGTTCAATCAAAAGACTACAATAATCATGTTCTGGTATTCTTATGCATTAAAATTAAAATAGATTGATATTATATATTATACATGTATAACTTTCAAATGGAAATTATACACGCATAATTAAAATGTGTTAAAAGAATTATTAGCTCGAATATAAAAAGGTCCATAGAAATTTGGAATAAATTAGTCTCATGACTATGGAAGTTTTAAAATTGATAAGTAGATTTTTTTGTTTCAAATAACAGAGCTAGTATATTTGATTTTACAATCTGCACTTCATTCTTTTTATCTTGTATTTTAGATACATCATATACATTGAAAACATATATACATAAAATTATAAAGTTCTCTTAGTAACTATCTCATGTGCAAACATATATATTACATAAGTTTTTCATTTAACATCTCAAAATAAATAATTGACAAAAATTCACGTTCTTTGTTACTAAAAGCATTCTTTCACTTAAAAGCTGGAACAAACACACTAACACCCTTCCATGTATAATACATATAATTATATGTCTTACATATATCTACATATAGAAATCGTATACAAATATCTATATATACAAATATAGATTCGTACTGTTAATATTATAATGTCTTTGGATTGATCTGATTTAAAACATAACTTTTGTAAAAATTTACAGAATTGCATACAATAAAATTTTAGGGAAGTAGAAAATTATAAATTCCAGAACTTCCAGTAAAATGACTTTCCTCTTAGAATACGACAGATGAGCCCTCCAGTGATCTATGAACCCAAAGATTCCGCGTCTTTGGATCGACACTTCAGACTTTTCAACAATAGAAAAGCGGTCTGTTTTAGCTTACTGTTTCCCAGAATCAGGACAAAGGAGTGGATGGAAGGAAAAGCAATTTCAACAGTGTGATAAAAGAGTAAAGGAAGAAACTTAGGTCTCCAAAATTGTATCAAAAGAGACAGAAAGAAAATTGTGTACAGGAGGAGAAAGGCAACCGCAGCTTGCAAGGCCTTTATGTGCGCTGTGGTGCTTGCATCTCTGGACCCTCTGACATAGCACTGCATCCTATTCAGATGTTTCCACAGGGAGAAGATGAGCAGGAAGAATGTGGTCATGGACAGAGCAAAGGCTATGAATGTGAACATAGTGCTGCTGAATAAGCGAAGTTTTGAAAACTCAGGAAAGTCCTGTAAACTGGAGTTGTAAGACATGCTTCTTATATGCTTATCAATCAAGACAGTTAGATGTGCATTTAACTGCAACAGGTGTAAAAATAAGAGAACTAGAGACACCAGAAGTGTCACTAAAACCACCTTTTTAACTCTCCACTTAAAATAAAGAAACATAGAGTTGGAAAAATTTGCTATCTTGAGACAATAAAAGATGCTGAGGCATGTGGCAAGCCAGGCATTAAAATGAAAAGTCATAGACCAAATAGCATAAGATAGTCTTAAACGGACAAAATTCATGTAGAAACCTGGGGAAAACAAGTGCAACCACCAACTTGTGAATAATATCCAGAGCAGAACAATCCTGGAGATTGCCAAAGCAGTGAGCAGCTGATCAGCTAAAGAGATCTTTCTTCTGTTGATCAGGTCCATGCAGTTCACCAGGATTATAAATACATTTCCTAAATTTCCTATTGTGAACTCCACACTAAAAACCAACCTAAATATACTTGGCATGACCCCAGCCATTATGCATAAAAGACTGGCCAAATGTAATATTACTGCTAAAGATATATTAATGCACTCATTCACAATTTTGCATACAACTGATTCTTTAAAATTTCAAAATATACTTTAAAAATGTCTCCCACCAAGGTTTTATCAAAAAAAAAATCAAAACTTGCTAATGAGCTGGTTCGTGCATTCTGCTTGAGAATCTTGTATTTTCCAGTTATCCCATCTGAGTTCCATCCAAAGACTATGAGTCATACAAACAGGAACCTGGAGTCTGTTGTAGTTGATGAAGAAGGTATCATAGAAAAAAAAGCTACATTTATTTCCATATTTGCTGTTCTTGCCTTAGTTATGTATTTTAATCTGAGTTCCTAAGATCTGGGAAAATAACATTACAAATTTTAACTTGTATAGAAGACCACAGAATCTAAACTAATATAAGAAATTTCTTAAAAACTGACATCCTTCAACACTTCAAAATTCAATCTGTGTAGTGACCTAGGCATATGTTTTGCAAAACTCAGACTGGGCATTATCAGTTAGTTACTAGTCTCATGGAGGCCATTCTTTGTACAATGCTTAATATTGAGATAATATTTATAATTGATATAATATATAATTTACTTATCATTTTAGTTTTTATGAATGTGTGCAAACACACCATATACACCAACACTCACATCTTATCTGAAGATCTATTTGAATCTAAACCCCTCTTTATCCTGCTTGAATAATTCAGATTTGTTTAGTAAACACTTGTTATACATTATGACCACAGTATTCTGATAGGTGTTAAAGTTATTTTAAAATGCTTTAAAATGAATATTATGTAGCACTGATATAAATATTCAGCAATCAGAACAATCTTTTGTGAAAAGAGTTATAAGTCTATCTGTGGTCCCATGAATTACACACTCTGATGAGCAACTCTACCTGCACAGCAATAATCCTCCTGTTCATATGCCTTTCTCTGGCACAGGATGGTGGTTTTCTCCAATCTCCTAAAGATCTCCAGATTGTATTATCTTTCTCTCACCACCCACCCATATCAGCTCCACGACCCTCACTACAAAAACCAAGGCAGATAACATATGAAATACTGGCTGAATGCAGTCAGAAAAAGAACCACAACAAAATTGTTCTTCAGTAGTTAAGAGTAACCAAGGAATCAATGGAACAATTTCAACAGTGGTTATGTAAACAAAACAAAAATACTTTAAGCATCCGAGATGAAAAGGGGTATTCACTGTGACAAGGTGATCCAATATTCATTTCCTTCAACCAATAGTGAGTAAATATAGTTATCACTATATATTTTGAAAATTCCCACAAATGTCCATAGAAGGATGTACTCATAATGTAAAAGAATAGCATGGAAAAATCTAAAAAAAAAAAAAAAAAAAAAAACCCTCCTAATAAAAAAGCATATGCATACCATCAATGTAGAGACAGAAAGATGCCTGTGTGAGTCAGCTTCCATCACTGTACCTGCCATAATTACCCAAAAAGGAGGAAAGCCTTAAGCTGATTATCATTTCAGAGGTTCCACCCAAGACCACTTGGTTTTATTGTTTTTGCATCTCCGGAAAAAGAAAACATAGGGATATGCAACCACCACTGGGTGGTGCTCTGTGGAGTGGGAGCTGATACAGAAATTTTATGGTCTTTTAACAAACATCGAAAACCTGAGTTCCTGGCAAGGGCTATACTCACCTCTGAGGAGCTTTAACTTTATCTTCCTCTCTGGATGGAAGTACTTTCTGTTCTGCCTGATCAACAGCTGCTAAGGAAAGGTAGCCTTTTTCAGACATGATGGGAATAGAATCAAGGACAATTTCCACATTTTACATCCAGAAGTCTGAATAACAGCTCAGTCCTTGAGAAAAGCAGTGAATTTATCCACATCACAGCCAATATCATATTAAGGAGACCCATTGCATTCCATGCTAATTTTATTTTTGTTGGCAAGTTTTACATAGTGGGTATAGCAAATGCAAATCGTTAAAGAGTTGTCACTCTCATTAGCTTATCCATTTATAAACATAGAATCAATCCTATCAAACTATATCTATGTAGTTATTTTTAGAAATACATTCTGGATCACCACCATTATGATTTACGAAAAATTAAAACAAAATCATTATTTAATCTCCTTTATTCTTTCTAGATTTTCAGTAGTATTGCTGTTAAATGTAAGCTTGAAGGAAAAGTGTTTTCCATTTTGAAGTATATTAGCACACACACACACAAAGACATAGACACTTAGGTATAGATAAACCTGGGCAATCAGCATTATTTACCTCTGTGAATCTAGGCAACTATGTTCTCAATAAAGAGACTCTATGAAATCACCCACAAAATGAGCATACCTGATTATTAATCGAAGAAATGATCCCTAGTGTTGTCTGATTCCATTTAAAGAGGAAGTAAAGAACTAGAAGAAGAAGCTGAAATGGTGATTAATGAGCAAGGATCCCCCCAACCCTGGAGAAGTCAGTGGGCAGGAAAGCACTGACTGCTCATCATTCCTGCAGGACCAAGACTGAGCACTGGCAGCATCAATGGGAAAGACAGATACAAGAAACAGAGTTCAATAGCCTTTCTTAGTGGATTCATCAACAAGCTGTTCATTAGGCTCTGTGTCCATAAACCAAGAGCAAATCTGAGCTTAAAAGCTGATTCCTGAGCCCAATTTTTTAAAGTTTCAGCTTAGCATAAAGTTAATCAATGAAGCAGAGTCCTGTGATTGAGGAATATCTAAATCCCCTTCACACAGGTCCCTGAAAATACACAGAATTATTAAGGACGAATTAACATAGTGTTTTCCAAAGACCTATAACCATTTGTAGGATACCAGTACCTAAAAGAGAAGGTACCTGTTCAAGTTCTCCGGGGAGTTCAAGTTCAGAGACGGAACTAATAATGGTAAATGGAGAGGGCAAAGAGACATTAGGATATATTGCATAGAGTGAAAGACTGAGAACAGTAATGCTTTCCAGAGCTTTGAATCATGTCCATACCAACGTGGGATAATGTGTTGATGTTTTTTAACTGATCCTGAATGCATAATATCAACAGAGTTGATGGAGAAATGCTCATATGTTTCCTGATCTGTGAAGCAATGGACATTCTTGTAAGCAGGACTAAGTTGGTAGCCTGTGAAAGTCTTTTCCTGGAAGATAAAGAATGAAAAACCAAATGAGCATGGTCTTCAAGGAATGAGTTGATTGATTACTACTAATAAAAGTCTTTGAAATTGAGAAGAAGTGATGTTTTTAGAAGTATGTGTCTGAACAGAACAGGAAGTTCACTGGGAGGATAACCTTGAAAGCTATTTCTTCCAGGCACCTCTCTTCACTCTTTGCTTCCTGCTCCTATAAATGAACGACTGGTCCTGCAACTTACCTTTGTTACATGTCATACTGCCTTGTAGCAAGCCAACTGTGGACTGAACTGTGAGCCAAAACAAACCTCTTTTCCTCTAAATTATGGATGTTGGGTGTTAAGCCCCAGCAATGAAGGATGTGACCAAGAGATAATATTATGATAGTAATACTTTCCTAAGTTGGTTTTCAGGAATTTAGGGCTAGCCCTGGCTAGTTCAAACTGGTCAAGAGACCAACTTTTTTTTTGCGGGGGGGGGGGGGGGGCTTGAACATCTATACAGTGAGTGATATGCTGATGTCACGAGGCCAAAACTCCACTCAGAATATAGTGCCACATGCTCTGAGTTGCACTGTATGAAGAGCCACGAACTTTGAAAACACTACTGATTGTATCACTCTCCTTTACTTTCAAACATGCTTTTCATCGCCTCACACAGCCTTACTTCTTTATTGCATGAATGGACCTAAAGCCTATCTACAAGGGAAAGATGTTAGAGTGGGGAATCTTATCTCCAGATGCATAGCTGAGTTGTGATAAAATCTTCCTCTAAGGAAAGCACATTTTGATGGCTGGCCTTGTACCTGGGATAAAAGCGTAAAAGTTTAGGGCACACTGACAATCTTTATGAGAAGAGGCCACAAAACCACTAGGAAATTACAGCAAGGCAACATATTTCCTCAATGTAGTTCCTTGTGTCTAAGAAAAGAAATGACAAAAGTAGAGCATTAAACCAAACCAACATTTTTATGTCTTGGGGATAAAAACTATGTATTTGTGCAAGGTATTGACACCAAAATATAGGATAGATTAGTTTCCTTGTAATTTTACAGAAGAAATAAAAAAAATTCTGAAAGGAAAAAGTGACAACCATATATTGATTTTTAAAACTAAGGATTTTGTCAGAATAAATCTTTAGTGATATTGAGCCTTTCAGCTTTTCTCCCCATAAACAAGTTAAGTCAATCAATTTAGACATTTCATCCATACTCTAAAACTTGACTTACTGACATTCAAATTTGATGAACTTATTTAATTATATAAACATTAGACAAGGCAAACATCTGCAAAACAGTGAAAGAATATATCTTTATTTGCAAGTTTGCAAATGAGAACTCAGCTTTCACTTCTGTATCAGCTGCAAAAGATTGCAGCGTTATGGAAAGATGCAAAGTTCACAGACAGGATCTATTTTGAGATGTGTTGAAATGTTTTGCATTTGAAAATCACTGAGCTCATTTTTTAGCATTATTGGCATTGTTTTATATTCACATTGGTTGCAGAATGTAAAGAGCTACAAATATATCTGGATTTTCAGAAAACAGATTTTGTTAGAAATTTAGGTCTGCAGATGGCAAGTTGCAACCAGTGACAGTAGACTTGACTTTTTTTTACATTCAGAGTTGTTAAATTTATGAATGGAGTTGACTGAGTATTTTTTGGCACTGTCTCAGGCCATGCAGAGAAAATGAGAGAGAAGGCAAAGAATAGACAGACCTTCAATATGGGCATGGGAGAGTTATAAAGAGATATAAGTGCTCTCAACTAGAACAAAAAAGTGCAGTTACTTTCCTCAATTCTGGCTGGGGAAGAAGTTTTGGAGGTGGGAAAAATGACATATTAACAGCTGATTTGAAAGCATCTGCCTGTGTAAAACAGGACATAGAAAAATTTACTGGGGGCTGGGAATGGAGGTTTGGGTGGTTGTAGAGTCTTCGAATCTGAGAGGGCTCTGTGCACATGCAGAAGAGGAGCTGGAGCTTTATCTCTGGAATGAGAAGGAGAACATAAAAGTTACTTTTGGAGAGATATGTTGCTTTTCGGGTTCCAGTACCAAGTTGGGCAAATGTCATGTTACAGATAGTTAAGCCTAAGGCTAGCAGAATCTGTCAGATTTCATGGTCATCCAAATCATGGCAGAATTTGTTTTTGGAAATTTTGTCACAGTATTCATTCCTCTGATGATCTCCACTGACTGGGTGAAGAGACTAAATACTTTTGCTTTTGATTGAAATCTGTGTACCAGGTGATTCCAGAATTATAGCACTTGATTTGGGAAAGTGAAAGCATTGATATAAATCTAGGATTAATTCAGGTTCATAGAGTGGGCAGGTAAACCATTTTGCACTTAACATCTGGACAATAACCTACTGAGCATCTAGCTTATTACTAGCTTTGACATAATTCATTTGGTCAACATAGCCAGTTTTCACAGCCTCCTTTTTCTTTACCTAATGAAATGAGACAAGAATGTGTTTCAAGTGATTCTTCTGCAAATATTAGTGGTTTTCTATTGTCTTGTGGTGGGTAGCAGGTCACATGAGGATGAATAAATTTGAAAGAAATGTAAATGGGAAGATGCAATTGAGGGATGCAGTGAAATGTTAAGACTTGCTTGTGTGGGTTTTACACACTTCACTACATCATGCAGGTTCCTGCTGTTAATCTCCCCAGTGAAAACATTTTGAGAAGATGTAGGTGCACCATGAAGGATCTCAAGATCCAAGCACCATGGTCCCCACGAAGACCTTTAAAACTGTTGTATCCTTTCTCTTATTATTTGCATTGTACTCTTGGATATTCATTTTATAAAGTTTGGTTTTTAATAGGCTGCTCAATTCACTGGTTCACTTACTTCCCATGCTAGTGGAATTGTTTCTCCATTGAGACATTACTTTGTCCAGATTTGTGGAGACAAAAAACTAAAAAAAGGGAACTGTGGAGTTTCAAGCAAGCAGGTGGGCACACACTATCCCCGGCCCAGCCTATTTGGGACCTGCACACCATCTGGGTGCAGAGTAAGGGCTGGGTGGGTCTGAGGCACTTGCATCCACCTCCCCATGAGTCCGGAGGACTGTGGATTTCTAAGCAAGCAGGCAAGCATCACCAGTTCCAGAGGCCCGGCAGCCTGCGGTAAGTGCCCAGTGCACTCTCCCCCAAGCCCAACCTGTTCTGGACCCTCGAACCTTCTGGGTGCAGTGAAGTGGCTAAGTGGATCCAAGGCACCTACATCCGCCTCACCATTCCAGCTGTGCTCAGAGAATGGTGGAGTTTCAAGCAAGCAGGGTGGCGCACACTATCCCCGGAGCCCAGCCTATCTGGAAGTGCAGAGTTCTAAGCATGCAGAAGAGCACCACTGGTTCCAGAGACCCAGCAGCCTGGGGGAACTGGGTGCCAGAGTCTCAGGAACTGAGAACATAGAAGTGGATTTCCAACAGACCCTGAGGGAGCTTTCAAAAAACACTTGAAACACAGAAATATAGGAAAATGACAAAATGAAAGACCAAATTACAACCTCAAACCTCCAGCCCATCACAAGAAACCCTAGGAGCGATGTATATAGAAGAAAATATATGCTGTACACCTCAAATATTGGACATAATAGCTACTGAAATAAACAAGCAACTCTGGGAAGCTTTAAAGGAATTCAAACTCAAAATAATCTCCCAGGTAAAAGAAGAAATGATAAAAGAAATGAAAGAGATTCTGAATATATCTAAAGAAAACACAGTTAAAAAATTGGAGGAACTATACAAAAAGAATCCCTAGATGAGCAATAGAGGAAACAAACAGAATACATAAATCAGATGCACAGAGATATACAGAAAATAAAAAACTCCATTGAAAGCTGTAAAAACTGCCTCAATGAAAGTGAAGATAAGGGGATGGGGACTTAGCTCAGTGGCATAAACGCCTGCCTTGCAAGCAGGCAGTCGTGAATTCGATCCCTGGTACCAATAAAAAAGAAAAAGACAAAAAAAAAAAAAGAAAAAGAAAAAGAAAGTGAAGATAGAATTTCAGACCTTTAAAACAGGATTGCAGCTAGTGAACAGGAATAGAATGATCTTTCAAAAATAACAAGGAACCAGGAAATAACAATTCAACAACTGCAAGATGACACAAAGAAAAACAACATAAGATTGATAGGCATTAATGAAAAAGAAGGGGACAACATAAAGGACGTCTAGAGGATATTTAGAGAAGTAATAGCTGAAAATATCTCAAACACGAGATCAGAAATTGACATCAGGTTCACTGAAGCCTATAGAACTCCAAATAGTCATAACCAAAATAAAACTACACCCAGACATACAATAATCACCATCCTAGAAATCCAACACAAGAATAAATTATTAAAAGCTGTCAGAGAGAAAAGACAGATCACTTACAAAGGAAAACCTATCAGAATCACAGCAGATTTCTCAGCACAAACAATAAAGTCAAGAAGAGCATGGAGTGAAGTATTCCAGATACTAAAGCAAAATGATTTCCAACCTAGACTGATGTGCCCTGCAAAACTACCATTGAAGGGAGGGGACTCCAGTCCAGCCCTACCTGCTGCCTCTCCTGCCCAGGGAGCAAATTACCACCGCTGCCAGCTGCAAGGTGAGGTCCCAGCCAAGTAAAGGGGACTCCAGTCCAGCCCTGCCCACTGCCTCTCCCACCTGTGGAGCACACTGCCACCGCTGCCGGCCAGGAGGAGAGGACACAGCAAAGTGGAGGGGACTCAGGTCCAGCCCTGCCCGCTGCCTCCTCTGGCCAAGGAGCACACCACAGCTGCTGGCCGGAAGGAGGGAGCTGGGCTGAGCAGCTGAAACCTCTGACCTGGCCTGCGACATTCTTTTGATCTGGAGAGCACCAGCACTACTGCCACTGCCTGGAGGAAGGAGCAGTCCTGCTGAGGAGGCCTGCTTAGGCCATAAGGGAACATTCTATAAGCCTGGGGAGTTTTGCCATCCAAGGAGCTGGATTCTTACACAACATCCAATCCCTGGGAGATTATAAGATCCTTGCTATAGAGGGTTGGGGGCCAACTGGACTTGCAGCCACAGTATACTGGGCTTAACAGGATTTGGGATTGTCTGGACCACACCAGGTGGCCTTCTATCCCTCAGGGGAGCTTTGCTACCAGAAGGGAAAACTGTGCAAATTGAAGAGGATTTAGGTCTACCTGAGAGGATCCTGGCAAGCCTCTTTTAATGCAGGGGCTCCGCTGCCCAAAAAGGGAGCTACTACCAGAGGAGTCCTAAGAGCCCAGGACATAAGAGTCAATTTACAATACGACCAGGGGAAACTCTGGAACAACACTTGAACAGTAATACAGGAAAATGACAAAACGAAAGATCAAAATGCAATCTCAAACATCCAACCCATCCCAAGAAAGCCTAGGAGCCATGTACATAGAAGAAAATACATGCCATATACCTGAAATACCCGAAACAATAGTAACAGAAATAAAGAAGCAGCTCCAGGAAGCTTGAAAGGAATTCAAACTAGAAATAATCTATCAGGTAAAAGAATAAATAATAAAAGAAATGAAGGAGATGCTGAACATATCTAAAGAAGACACAGCTAAAAAATTGGAGGAACTAAACAAAAAGATAGAATCTCTGAATGAAGAATATAAGAAACAAACAGAATATATAAAACAGATACAAAGAGATACAGGAAATCAAAAACTCCATTGAAAGTTGTAAAAACTGCCTCAATGAATGCGAAGATAGAATTTCGGACCTCAAAGACAAGATTGCAGACAGTGAACAGGAAAGGAAAGATGTTTTAAAAATAACCAGAAATCAAGAAATGACAATTGAACACCTGCAAGATGATGCAAAGAAAAACAACATAAAGTTGACAGGGATAAATGAAAAAGAAAGAGACAATACAAAGGATGTCAAGGGGATATTTAGATAAGTAGTTGCTGAAAACTTTCCAAACATGAAATTGGAAACTGATATCAGGATCAATGAGGCATATAGAATTCCAAATAGCCATAGCAAAAATAAAACTAAACCCAGACATATAATAATCACCATTCCAGAAATCTAACAAAAGAATAGAATATTAAAAGCTTTCAGAGAGAAAAGACAGATCACCTATAAAGGAAAACCTATCAAAATCACAGCAGACTTCTCAACACAAACAATAAAGGCAAGAAGAGCATGGAGTGAAGTATTTCAGACCCTAAAGGAAAATGATTTCCAAACTACACTGATGAACCCTGCAAAACTGTCCTTCAAAATCAATGGGGAAATAAGATACTTCCACGACAAAGAACAGGTGAAGAAATTCCTGATCACCAAGGCAATCCTGCAAAAAATACTGAAAGACAGTTTGGATACACTTAAGAAAAAACCACTTAACAAAGCAGACAATTAAATAGAACAGAAAGATAAAGATGCAACAGCAGAAATATAATATGTCAGCAATAAACCAATACATAACAGTTAAAACCATTGACGTAAATGGTCTCAATGCACTAATTAAAAGAAATAGACTGGCAGAATGGATCAAGAAACAAAATCCAACAATGTGCTGTCTATAAGAAACCCATTTAACCCCAAAGGATACTCACGGACTGAAAGTCAAAGGATGGAAAACAATACTTCATGCAACAGGAGCCCAAAAAAAAGCAGCGGTAGCTATTCTGTTTGCAGACAATGTGAACTTCAAACCAATAATAATCAGAAGAGATAAAGCAGGTCACTACATACTGGTTAAGGGAAAACTTCAAGAGGAAGAGAAAACTATCTTAAATATATATGCACCAAATTCCAAAGCACCCAGTTTTATAAAACAAGCAATATGAGAATGAAAAACCAAACTACCAGTAATACAATTATAACAGAATATTTTAACACACCATGGACACCAATGGACAGACCAACTAGACAGAAAATCAGCAAAGAAAAAAAAAGAGCTGAACCAGACCTGTGAACAAATGGAATTGATAGACATATACAGAGTATTCCACCCAACAACAACAGAATACACATTCTTCTTAGCAGTACATGGGTCGTTCTATAAAACAGACCATATGTTAACTCACAGGACATATTTAAAGAAATTCAAAAGAGTTGAAATCATCCCCAGCATGTTATCAGATCATAGCGCTATGAAATTAGTAATTAATGATAAAAGATACTGCAAAAATCCCACAAACACATGGAAACTGAATAACACACTCTTCAGCAATCAGTGGGTCACAGAGGAAATTAAAGAAGAAATTAAGCAATACCTACAAGAAAATGAAAACACAGATACAACTTACCGGAATCTGTGGGATGCAATGAAAGCTGTCCTCAGGGGCAAATTTATTGCACTGAGTTGCCACATCAGGAAAACAGAACAAATACAAATAAACAACTTGATGCTACACCTCAAACATCTAGAAAAGGAAGAGCAAGTCAAGCCAAAAGCCAAAAAAAAGGAGAGGAAATTATAAAACTCAGAGCAGAATTCAATGCAATAGAGACTAAGAAAACAATACAAAGAATCAATGAATCAAAGAGTTGGTTCTTTGAAAGAATAAATAAAATTGATAAGCCCCTAGCCAACCTTATTTAAAAAGGAAGAAAAAGCTCAAATTCATGCAATAAGGAATGAAAAATCACTACAGACCCAATAGAAATACAGGAGATCATCAACACCTATATCAAAAACCTCTACTCTCAAAGGTTTGATAACACAGAAGAAATAGACAGATTTCTAGAAGCGTATGAAGTACCAAAGCTAGGTCAAGCAGAAATAAAACCACTGAATAACCCAATTTCTATTAATGAAATAAAAAATGTAATTAAGTCATTGCCTACAAAGAAGAGCCCAGGCCCAGATGGATTCACTGCAGAATTCTGCAAGAAATACAAAAAGAACCTAATGCTGACACTCCTCAAACTCTTCAATCAAATTCAAAGGGAAGCAATCTTTCCCAAGTCATTCCTGAAAACAAATATTACTCTGGTACCAAAACCTGAGAAAGACCCAACTGAAAAAGAGAACTACAGACCAATCTCCTTAATGAACACAGATGCAAAGATCCTCAATGAAATATTGGCAAATAGCATGCAGCAAATCATCAAGAAGATTATACACCATGACCAAGTTTGATTAATCCCAGGTATTCAGGGATGGTCCAATATGCATAAATCAATAAATGTAATCCACCATGTCAATAGAGTCAAAGTAAGAATCACACGATCATTTCTATAGATGCAGAAAAAGCTTTTGATAAGGACCAACATTCATTTATGATAAGAACCTTGCAGAAAAGTGGAATAGATGGTCTTTACCTCAACATAATAAAGACCATCTATGACAATCCAACAGCCAGTATCATACTAAATGGCCAAAAATTGAAGGCATTTACTTTAAAATCAGGCACAAGACAAGGATGTTCCTGTCACCACTCCTATTTAATATAGTACTGGAAATACTAGCCAGAGCAATTACACATGAAAAAGAAATAAAAGGCATAAAGACAGGAAAATAAGAAGTTAAATTATCACTATTTGCAGATGATAGGATACTCTACACAAAAGAACCCCAAAACTCCATTGAAAGAATCCTAGATATGATAAATAAATTCAGCAATGTGGCTCGATACAAAACCAATATTCAAAAATCAATAGCATTCTTATACACTAACAACAAAATCACAGAGAGAGAAATAAGAGAAGCCACACCCTTCACACTAGCAACGAAAAAAAAAATGAAATATTTAGGAATTACTCTCACGAAAGAAGTGAAAGACCTATACAGGGAAAATTATAATACACTGAAAAATGAAATTGAGGATGACCTCAGAAAATGGAAAGACATCCCTTGCTCATGGATAGGAAGAATAAATATTGTGAAAATGGCCATTCTCCCAAAACTGTTATACAGATTCAATGCAATTCCAATAAAATACCATTAACATACCTCATAGATCTCAAGAAATCAATCCTAAAATTCATCTGGAGTGAGAAGAGACCTAGAATAGCAAGGACAGTTCTAAGCAAGAAAGGCAAGGCAGGAGGCATCACAATCCCAGACTTGAAGTTATACTACAAAGCAACTGTAGTAAAATCAACATGGTACTGGAATCAAAACAGAGCCACAAAACAGATTAGAAGATACAACCACAACTACAAACACACTCAACCACCTTATCTTTGATAAAGGGGCCAAACATGTTCACTGGAAGAATGACAGTCTCTTTAATAAATGGTGTTGGAAAAACTGGTTCTCCATATGCTAAAAATTATACTAGACCCATGCCTGTCACCATATACTAACATAAAATCTAAATGGATCAAAGATCTAAATATTAAAACAGAAACACTAAATCTATTGGAAGGCAAATTGGGTAAAAAACATGAAGACATATAGGTAGGTAGAGAATTCATGAACAAGACTCAAATCGCATGGGAAATACTTCCCAGAGTCAATAACTAGGATCACATCTTATTAAAAAGTTTCTGCACATTGAAAGAAATCTCTAACATAGTGAAAAGCAAACCAACAAATGGAAAAACTCCTAGTGAACTGCCCCTCAGACAAAGGACTTCTGTCTAAAACATACAAAGAATTTAAAAAAATCACACCCCCAAAATTCAAAGACCCCATCCAAAAATGGGCATCTGAGATGAATAAACAATTTTCAGATGAAGAAATACAAACAGCAAGTAAATATATGAAAAAATATTCAGCATCAGTAGTCATTAGAGAAATGCAAATTTATACCACGCTGAGATTTCATCTCACTCCTGAAAGA